TTGTCGAGCGCCTGATTTCACCACGATGACTCCCATTTTAGCTCACGTAGCACCTGCAAGGCGCAAGGTCAAATCGGCCCCAGGCTCCAGTTCTTAAAGGTCCCACCGACGTGAATCATAATATTGTCCAAGACTGTGCACCATGACGTAACTCTAGTTCACCACAGAGCGCCCCATTTAGACTCTTTTTTAAAAACTAAATGAAGGGCAAAGAGGGAAAGGTTGCGCCCGCACTCGACTGTGGCGTGACTAGCCTAGTGTTTGGCAGTTCTACATGGCGAGCGCACCAGTGCAGGGAAGTCTTCCCTGGGAACAAAGAGCCGGTGTAATAAGCCAAAGTCCCTCTATGCAACAAAAACTACCATAGTTTTTTTGGCAACTCTGAAAGCACTATCAGATAAATAGTAAGTGTTTATAGCGCAGACCTTCACGCCAGAAACACTATTTCCAGCTATGCCAATGACACTATCCTCAAGCCAAAATCCCTCTATGTAACAAACACTACTATAATCATTTTGGCAACGCTGAAAGCACTATTAGTAGCGTTTATAGCACAGGCCTTCACGCTAAATAAACTATTGTCCTGGGAAAAAAAACAACACTACCACCAGATGTACGTATAGTCTTCGGCAATATATATTAGACAATCACGCAAACCCTACTATTTTCAGCTTTTCATGCCTAATTCTCTACCATCACGCAAAATCTTACTATTGTTTGTGTTTATAGCATAGGCCTTCACGCCAAAATCACTCTTTCTGGCTATATCAATGACATTACTCTCAAGCAAAAATTACTTTTCAAGTAAGCTAACAGAAAAAACACTATCCCGATCAATGATCCCAGCGAAACACACTACCACCTGATATACGTATATGTACCTATATTCTTAGACAATAATATTATACAATCACACAAGCCCCATCATTTTTGGCTTCTCGGGCTAAAATATCTATTACTCTTATTAAAATTCAAAGTGAAAAGAGAAATAAAGCTGGCAAAATGTAGCCTACATATCACATCGGATACATCATTCAACCACAAGCAGGAATTTAATTACAAGACCTTTAGAGTTAAATAGATACATACTGGAAAGAGCAATACACGTTGATGCGTATTCTGTCAATGGCTTTACGCTAAACGGTACAACATTTCTTTTACATCTTTCTTTTTTTAAGAGGTACATATCTGCCGCTGCGTGATCTTACAATTTGCGTGAAATAGAGGTGTGATGGGTCGTATATAACGGTTTTTAAAAAATCTTTTTTATTCTTGCGGTGTTATACATTTCATCAATTCTAGTAAATTAATCATATCCAGAGATTTTGCTGTCTTTCTTAATGGTTCTTTAAACTTTTTCTTTATCTTTCACCCTACAATTCCAAGCCCAGCATCAAATACAAAATAATAACACGCTTTCAATCATAGAATGGTATAAAAGAGACATAATCTTATTATCGACAAGAAAAAATTGTAATTTCCTTAAAATAAAGGAACATTCTTTGATTTACTTTTTCATGCACAAGAGCAGCGTGGGGGATGCCAGTCAAGCTTTTTACCAAGTGTGTGTGTGTGTGTGTGTGTGTGTGTGTGTGTGTGTGTGTGTGTGTGTGTTTATGTGTGTGTTTATGTGTGTGTGTGTCTGTGTGTGTGTGTGTGTGTGTGTGTCTGTGTGTGTGTCTCAGTGTGTGTGTGTCTGTGAGTGTCCGTGTGTGTATGTGTGTGTTTGTATATGTGTGTGTGTCTGTGTGTGTGTGTATGTGTGTGTCTGTGTGTGTCTGTGTGTGTATGCACGTGTGTGTGTATGTGTGTGTCTGTGTGTATGTGTCTGGATGTGTGTTTGCATGTCTGTTATTTGTCTGTCTGTCTCTGTGTGTGTATCGGTGTTTGAGTGTGTTCGTGTGTATGTGTATGTGTGTGTCTGTGTGTCTGTATGTGTCTGTGTGTATGTCTGTGTCTGCGTATGCATGCCAGTGTGTATGTATGTATGTATGTATGTATGTATGTATGTATGTATGTATGTATGTATGTATGTATGTATGTATGTATGTATGTATGTATGTATGTATGTATGTATGTGTCTGTGTGTGTGTGGGGGGGGGGGGTCCTTGGCGTCAATGGACCTGAGATCACCACTGAGTGTGACAACCTCAACCCTTCTGTGCACAGAATATAACCGTGCACACTTGTAGCTCTGTTGGTTTCATGCTGGACTATGGAAGAGATGGCTCTGGTTCGAATCCTGGAGTGGGAGTTCGCAAAGTCACGTCGCATTCTGGAGTGTTCAAAACGTTCAACCCATCTGGCTCAGTCCTGTCAGAGACAAGCGTTGTAATATTATTCTTAACTAGCCTTATAGTGTTGATTGATAAGTGTTTAAACCATACTCAGAGGGCATAGCGTCGCACGCATGTTGTACGAGTTCGATGATGATGATGATGATGATGATGATGATGATGATGATGACGATGATGATGGTGATGATGATGATGATGATGATGATGATGATGATGATGATGATATATCGTCAGATGTTATATAACCATTCTTCTCCCCTCTTTCTATATCCAACTATCTGATCTGTCTCTCCCCCTCTCTCTATCTCGCTTTTTCTCCTCTTCTCAGTCTTTCTCTTCTGCGCCCCCTGTCTCTCTCTTTCTTTCCCTTCGTCTATCTAGATCTATCTATCTATCTATATCTATCTATCTATTTATCTATCTATCTATCTATCTATCTATCTATCTATCTGTCTATCTAATAGTTTAGCTATTTTTCTTATTTTTTCTCCCACTCTTCTCTTCTCTCTTTCTCTCTTTTCTATCTTTTACGCCTCTTCTCTCTGTCCCTCTGTCTCTCTCTGTCTGCCTGTTTGTTTGTTTGTCTGTCTGTCTGTCTGTCTGTCTGTCTGTCTGTCTGTCCGTCTGTCTGTCTGTCTCTCTCGCTCTCTCCCTCTCTCTCTCTCTCTCTATCTATCTAATCTAATCTATCTATCTATCTATCTATCTATCTATCTATCTATCTATCTATCTATCTATCTATCTATCTATCTATCTATCCGTCTTATTTTTTCTCCCACTCTTCTTTTCTTCCTTTCTCTTTTTTCTATCTTTTACGTCCCCTCTCTCTTTCTCTCTCTCTCTCTCTCTCTTTCTCTCTCTCTCTCTCTCTCTCTCTCTCTCT